AATTAGTTATTTAAGAGTTATTAAAATTACATATTTATTTCAATTGTCTATTAGTGACAGATAAGCAATTTGAATTATATTGTTGTGATTAAGTATTGATTTTCTAAAGTCTTAGTTCGTAGCCTCTAATATTACTCCCTATGGGATCGATATCTAGGACTCCATTAGAGCCCTGTATTACCTGAGTGATACGTATACTTGCGTTGATAAATATGACTTTACTATTATTGAATATTTTATTTATACATCTTTATCGAATCTATAAACGTTATCAAGTTTTTGGTGTCGTTGCCAAGGAATTAAATCTTCTGGCAGCAGTATTAAATTCTTGTATTTTTAAACATATATAAAGTCGTTGTCACTAATCTTAGTTAAAATACTAAGAGCTTGAAGGCTTTAAGTGCTAAGGTGTCCACCCTTAAAAAGGAGAACCATATGTTGATGTTCAAGAAGGATTTTAATATCGTTGAGTTGGAACAAATTTTATGGAAGTCTTAAAAAACTCAATTAGTTTCAAAAGAATCATTTGGGATCATGTTCAATAGGCTCTTCATCAAATTTATGATGTTACGGTAAAGGAGCTACAACATGAATGCATAGAGAAGGGATTCATAAGAGGCCTCTTGAAGGGGACTCATGCAATGCACCATTGGACTATAATTGATATTAAGGGACTATCTCCCAGTCAGGCATCTGAAGATCCCCCTCATATTCAAAAGTTGAAGAAGTTTATAGTGACTTATAGGAGCACATCCCTGATGAGGTGGATGAAGATGTTGAAGTGGCTTAGAATTCTGTTTTTGTGGGCTTCTTTTAGCTTTTATATTTTAGTTTTATTTTAGTATTTTTTTTATTTTCTTGATGTAATATTTATATTTGTGATTATGTGTTTATCCACAAAGTTCTTAGATTGTTGGATGTAGTCTATAATCCTTATAATAGTTCATATCTTTATGTGTGGAATCACATATTTTTGTTCAGTTTACACTTTTTAAATGTCACTTTATTCCTTATGTTGTAGTGTACCCTCAAGTTAAATGAAGTAGTATTTTATTACCACATATTTGATATGTGTGAACAAAATCAAATGACATCCATCAAGGATGTTTGACCTATCCTAGGTTATCTTACCATAGCCCTGAAAACATAAATATGTTATAGACAAGGTCAAATGAAATTCATCGAAGTGTTTGACTTATCATAGATTCATATCCAAAATATCCACTTGATGGTCATAACATGTATTAGAAGAGGTAAAATAAAATATACCAATAATGACCTATCCTATGTTGTTTAGTCAGAGAATCTGCTGCCATAACATGTATTAAAAGAGGTTAAATCGAGTCTCCTTGAGACAAATTAGCCTAGAATGAGGTGTCAAAAATGTTCTATATTTCTTTAGTCTTGGGTGTAAATCAAAATCAACTATGTTTTTTTCCTGAAATATGGTCATAATCATATTTAAGAATAGAATTCGGTAACTTTCTTATTATTGCTTTTTGATTTCTTACCCCCTAATGAGGGTGTTATTCAAATGATCCCATAAAACGTCCTTAATTTTTTTAGAATGCAATCATTATTATATTCAAATAAAGTTTAATGCACATATGAGAAAACACAATATCATTACTCCAAAAAAATCAAGTACACCAAACATTGGAAAATTATTAAAACAAACACAAGGAAAAGTAAACACATAGATATAAAGTGATGGTTGAACACCAGTAAAGACAAACTTTAACTAGAGTAACATGAATATATTGATTATTAATAAAATTTATTAAGACTTTATGTGTTTCAAATTTGAAAAAGAGCCTTGTTATCCAGGTCTTTTATTTTGAATGTTTTGTGCCTAACCATAGTTGTGACCACATAAGGCACTTACTAAAGGGGTAAATGTTTGTGGCAGTTAGGACCTTTTCAGCAGCCTCAAAGCTTCATAAAATTAATTCGCTAATGGAGATATGTCGAGGGTTCATGAGTTTTGTTAAAGTTCTCAGTTATCATTTGATTGTATGAAGGGGCTTTGAGGAAAGTTGCATCATAAATTTCTAGAAAACGATCCAAACTCTGTTGAAGTTTCTCTTCATTTACATTAGGATTGAAATATTGTACTCGAAAGCTTAAAATTTCATTATCAACTAGGATAACTATTTTCATACCAAAATATAGGATATGAGGTGTTTCCCTAGTTGTATTATATGAAGTTATGTGATAAGCCCAGAGAACATTAGAGTGTTCTTCTACCCA